GGAGCCCGACAGAGGAGCAAACGCATAAAACCTCCTGACATGAAAGTCACAGCAGCAGGCCCCCCCCAGGCCTGTGGGTGGTGAGAGATTTACAGCTCTTGCACAAGGCCTGGAGGGGGCCTGGGGAGCTTCAAGGACACTTCAGAGCCAGAATAACTCCCCACCAAGGCCTTCACCTTTCTCCTCTAGGAAAAAAATTACTCACCAATAGAACAGGTTGGGGCTGCCAGAAAGATGGTTATCGCTGTGGGGACCCTGCCCCACCCGGAAAGTAGGTGACTCCCAACTTCCTCCCCCACCCTGGGCTCTCCTCTCTGCGCCCAGGTCAGGGAGAGGTGCCTGGGGCAAGGCAGGGGGACAAGGGGGACAACTTCCAGAAGGGCCCTCCCTCTGGAGACAGTGGGGCTCATGCTGTCATGGTCCCTTTTCCCAAACAAGGAAAGGACACCAGTGGCCTGAAAGTGTGGCAGGAGTGTGGGTGGGTTCTGGCCAATTCTGGAAGAGTCCCAATATTTAGGGAATACTTTCAGAGTATGAAGCGGGGGGTAGGAGTCTTACCTGAAGGGAGACAAGGTTGGCACAATAAGACCGGAAACACAGGAAGGCCCTGTGCTCGGTGGCCATCCTCATTTCAGCCACTGAGCCAAAAGGCTGAGCTGGAAACCTCATGAGCAAAAGGTACCTGGCCCCAGGCCCATACTTTCAGTTCTTGCCCACCAAACTCAGCTGCCGGTTTTCTCTTGGGCTGGACCCCTGGTTTCTTCTCCACCCATGGCAGGATTATGGAGTGGTCAATGGCCCTGTGTCAAGGGCTTGACATCACTGGGGGCAACTCAGCTGGTTTAAGGGTGTATTTCTGCCTCATCCCAGACTCTGGACTCTGCACCCCATCACCCTGGTGCCCTACGTCCCCTGCACCTACATGAAAGCCCTGAACCTCAGCTGGGTTGGGAGGGGTGTACTGCCAACCACTTAAAAAGGCCTGGCAAGCATCCTCAGACAGGTGAGGGGCCAGCGCCTTTGGACTGGGATGGGGGCGGGGGCTGCTGCTGGAAGATGGAAATCCTGGGCCAGGGCTTACAGCACCATAGGGAGGGGGCTGGGGAGGAAATGCACTAAAAGTTGACCCACCCTCTCTCCAGCCTAACTTTCCCCTCTCCACCCCTTAGTCCAGCCTCCCAAGACCAGAGCTGGCGCTGAGACAGCCAACTGAGTAATGTCTCGGGTGCCTAGCCAGGTGGGCATAGACTTGCCCATTGCCAGGCCCCACCCTGAACGGTCAGTCAGCACTCCCCAGGAACAGGCCAGGGGCACAGTGGGGAGAGAACAGAGGCACTGCCTTCCAAGCAGGGCACTGCTCTAATCTAGCCCCACTGGCAAGGGGTTGGGGTGGGAGCCCAGTACTGGGGAGAAGGGGGGCCGCTGTACCATCCTTTCTCCTGCTGACTGGCAGGCTGCGAAGGGAAGGAAGCCTAACCAGAGGTCAGTGCTCTAGCAGGACGGGGGAGGAAGTCAGAGAGGAAAGATGGCTTTGTTGCCTTGGCCCCTAACCCCCCTGCCACCAGCTCTTAGACTACAGGCTCAAGGAGGAGTGGGCCGGGCTGGTCAGGACCTGCCCCCAGCCTGCCTTCCTCCCCAGCAGGTCGGGGAAAATTACTCTCCTGGTACTGCTTTTTATTTTTTGAAGCCAGATCAAAGGTGGGACCCAGCTGGGCCCTAGTAAAACCTCAGCAATGTGGAGCCTTGGAGTTTCAGCCGGGAAACCAGGCTCCGGCTGCAAGGGGTGGGGCGGTGTTAGGGGTGAGAAGAGCAAAGCTGGTTGGCTGGGGGTGGGGGTGAAGGTGGGGGGGCTGGTCAAGAACGATCAGTGACTTGAAGAATCCAGGCGAGGGTGGGGTCACCTGGGTTTCCACATATAATTCTCCCAATCCCAGCAACCACGTCGATTGGAACCTGGGTTCATGTTAGCCAAATGTCATCCCACTTTTGCCTCACTGCCCTCTTCCGTCACCTGCTCCAGGGCATTACTTTGAATAACCAGGAAGCTCTGAGATTAGATAACTCGCTCCCTCCCACTGCAAACAAAAGCACATTCCCCCTTTCCCTGCCTGAGTTCGGACTAGAAAAAAGCATCTCCTTATTTCTCTTCTCCTTTCCTGGTGAAGACTCTGAGCCGAGATTGGGTCACGAGCCCCAGCACCACCTCTCCCCTCCTCCCTCATTCCGGTCTTCCTTCGTAGGCCAAATAATCGCCCTTCTTGTTCCAGAAGGCTTTCTCCTTTCTCTCTAGAGCCGCCACATCTCTTCTCCTTTTTGGAATCACGTTGCCATCCCCAATATTGTGGCTGGACGAGGTGAATGGGGTTTTCATCCACATTGGTTTTCAGGGTGAGCTATCAGTGAGGACGCATTGTGTGGGGCCCCCAGGCACCTCACATTTCTTTCTTCGTGAGTCCTGAAGTCTGGAGAGGCTTGGTCCTGACTGGTGTGCTGCCAGACACGAGGAATGTCCAACAGAACAGAGAAAGGTTTCTCCAGAGCCTTGGCTGGCCCTGAGAAGCCCTCCTCAATGATAATGCCGATGACTTTCCTTGTTACTCCAGCGAACCACCCTCTACCCCAGTTCCCGCTTCTCCCGGATGTTGAGGTTCCTGGCAAGGCAGATGTGGGATGGATAGTGACCATGTGCATGTGTGTGCGTGCATGTTTGTGTGTACGTGGGCACACACACCTAGGTGGGTTTGGAGGAAAGGAAGGACCCTTCAGAGGAAAGGAAAGAGAGAGTGCTATGCTACAAATTCTGCTGTCACTAATGCACTGTGTGACCTTAGCCAACTCCACCACCTTCTCAGGGCTTCAGGTTCCCCCAGCCATAAAATACGGGGTTAATTGTCCCTCCTAGGGAAGCTGGGAGGGTTAATTGGGCAATGGCTCTGAAGTGTCTAGGAAGAGGAGATCTATAAATATAAGGGATCATTAGAGGGTATTTTGCAGCTGTTTTGTGGGTCCCAATGTTATTATTAATATTGTTATTTGCCACCATTGCCCACTTCCCGAGTCTCTGCCAGCTGGGTCGGCACTTCCAGGTGGAGTTATGCTCCTGCGCCCAGCATCCCAGCCAATGGCTTCGCTGAATCCACACCTCCATACTCATGGTGTCGGGAGAACCCTCAGGAGGCTAGCGATGGCGACTGAGATGGGGCTTTGACAGAAGAGGGTTGGGACCCAGAAGCGAGAGGGAGACAGTGCCCACCTGGGGAAATTCACAACCTTCCCCCTTGACCTTAGGGATGTTTCCAGTCTGCTGTGGGAAGCCTGGACTCAGAGAAGCAGACATGGAGCTGTGGTCCTTGTGGTCAGGAGGGGTGGTGAGGGGCTGAGTGCAGGGGAGAGGCTGAAGTAGAGAGAGGCTGCTGGTACCAGACATGGTAAAATGTGGTGGTTGGTAGGAAATGATTCCTTGAAGAGGCAAATGGCTCTTTTCCTGGACTCTTTGTAGAGGCCAGAACATACTCTGTTTCGAGGTGAAGCAGGGCATGGGCCTGGCAAACAGCAAGCACTCAATGAATGCTCGTTAAACTGAATTTCCATGCCTGCCTCTCCTTCCTGTAAGGTTAAAAGCCCGGCTTCTGCTTTTGGAAATGCCTTGGGCGCCCCCTGGTGGCAACACACAAAGGCTGAGGGGGCACCACTGCCTTTCACCCTTACTGGCTCCTTCTCCCTGGGGGTGCGCCTGCCCTTTCATCCTGAGGCTCCACAGACCGCATCCCAAGGGACTGGGGGTAGGAAGAACCAGGGAAGAAGGAAGAACCCTGTGGGGAAGGATGGGTGGAATGTTCTTGCTGGAAGATTCCATGGCAGTTGGTGGACAGCCATCTGTCTGGGCAGGGGAACTAGGGGACAGAGGGAGCTGATGAGTCAGGGCCCGGGTCAGGAGAGGCATCCCTGGGCAGTGGAGAGAGAGGGGTGACTGGGTGTGCACCTGGGGTGCGGAGTGGGGTAGATACATTTTACAGCCTCTGTCAGCTCACAGAAGACTGAGCAAATCTGGATAATTAAAATCATAGATGGACCTGGGAGAGAAGAAATAACCACAATTCATTTAAGCGAGGTGCTTGTCCCACCAAATCTTTCTCTGGGCATATAAGAGCATCCGGGATGGTCTGAAAAGTCTGCAACTTTGATTTCTCGGTAGGAGGAAAGAGATGAGAATGCAGAAATGGAAAACCAGAGCAGAGAAAAAGGAGAACCTGAGGCTACTGGGAAAATCCTTAAGGCAGAATGAGCAGCCTTTAGAAGGCTGAGTTGGCTGTAACTCTTCAAAAATAAACACAATAAAGCTTGGGTTGTAGCTATGAGTGAGGATAGTTAGGGCTGGAACATTGATAATCTTCTAGTTTCTGGACATCCACCTGCACCACATGGTTCCTTTCATAGGAGGCCCCAGAAGGAATCTGGAGCTTCTTTTTTTTTTTTTTTTTTTTGAGGAAGATTAGCCCTGAGCTAACTACTGCCAATCCTCTTCTTTTTGCTGAGGAAGACTGGCCCTGAGCTAACATCCATGCCCATCTTCCTCTACTTTATATGTGGGATGCCTACCACAGCATGGCTTTTTGCCAGGCAGTGCCATGTCCGCACCAGGGATCCAAACCGGCGAACCCCGGGCCACTGAGAAGTGGAACGTGAGAACTTAACCGCTGCGCCACCAGGCCGTCCTGAATCTGGAGCTTCTTAAGGGTCCAACCATCCAGGCCTCCCTCTGGCGCCCTGCGCATCCTTGGGAGGATTGATGATCACTCTCTGGTACTAATGAATTGGATGGGGGCAGCCACGTGCAGAAGAGAAGGACAGGAAGAATGTCAGGAAGCAGGAAAAGCATGAGACAATGAAGAGGGAAGAGGATTAAGAGGCAGAGAAGGAGAAGTGAAATGGAAGTGGAGGAAGCTGGGCCTGGAAGAGAAGGGGATAAGTCCATGAAGAGTATTAAAAGGATGCAGTCATTCAGTCAGTCAACAAACGTTTATTGTGCACCTACTATATATTAAGCAACGTGCTGGAAGTGAAAGGCGCAGTGGTGCATGAGACAAACATGGGGCTTTTCGAGTTGCAGAATGGGTAGCTTCGTAAATTAGAAATGGTGAGAAAGTGACAACTTAAAGAGGCTGAAAGCAGCTGGAAACAAGAAGGGAAATATCGAGAGAGAGAGAACCTGCCCCCAGACACACCCGGGGAAGAGATGTCTCCCTGGTTGATGTTGAGACACAGCTGGAACCACCTGTCCACACTGGCTCCACAGACCGAGGCAGGTAGGGTGGGTAGGGGAGAAATTCAGGAAGGGGAGGGACCGGAGTGGGTGGGGGTGGAGTTTTCCTTGGGTACCCCCAGAGGGAAGACACCTCTGGGCTAGTGAGTGGTTCTCAACATTTGGCTGCTTATGGGAATCACCTGAGAAAATTCTTAATCCTGTCACGGGGGTCCCATCCCCTGAGATTCTGATTTCCTTGGCCTGGGATGGGACCCAGACTCCAGAATTTATTGAAAGCTCTCCGGTGAGGCTAGAGTGCAGTCAGGGAGAAAGCGGGCATCCGAGGCGGGCTGCCCGGCCTCTTTCCTCTCTGTTGAGGACGGGGTCATCTTGAAGGAAGAGATCTGTGGAAGAGAAGTTGTGAGGCGGTCTGGTGGAGTTGTAAACGACAAAAGCATAAGGAGGTCCCCTCCTTAGAAAGTGCCCCCTTCCTTGGCGGTGCTGAGAGAGGAGCAAGACAGCCTAGAAATAAAGAAAAAACAGGAAAACGGCGGCCTTTAAAAGGGAAGAACCATTCACGTAACTCAAAACTGCTACCGAATTCTTCTAAGGTTTTCTAGTCTGTCCCCTCAACCACACACTTGCTCACTTTTTTTTTTCACTTTGGGGTGGGAGCACAGTGCCCCCAGCTTTCGTCCCACGAGAGGTTTGGCAGTGGCCCAGCGGGACATTCAACCCCATCTCCACTCCCCCAGATCCCTGGGCCCCAAGGAAGCTGAGTCAGTGATCCCGGGTGGAGCCGTGGCCTGAGAGTGAAGCAACCTTGACTTGAAAAATGGCCTGGGAACAGAATGCATGGTCCATATCAACAAGCCCTACTTCGATGTAATTGTATGCAAATATTCATTGTTGAACTCAGCACGCATTTCCTGCCAATCCTCTTATACCAGCCTCAATCCTTCCACTGCAGCCCAGTCTAGCAGGGGAGTCAGAAGTGAGAACAAGTGTGTAATGCAGTGTGAGCGAGTGAAGCCCTCTGCATGTGTCGAGAACCCTCCGGAGAAGGAAAAAGCTATGGCTTGGCGGGAGTTCAGTGTTCAGACTTTGAGCAGGGTCTTGGAGGATGCATAGGAGTTTATGAGGAGAAAAGAAGGATAAAGGAGGAAGGGAAATAGAAGCATAAATGTTTAGGAACTGTGGAATCTTTCCTTGAGGCAAAAAGGTAGGATTTAAAGAAAGGGAACAGAAATAGAGTAGGGGGGGGGGGGCATGAAAATAAACCATGAAAGATACAAAAGGAGAGTGGGAAGGACCTTGTTTGCCTAGAAAGGAGTTTGGGCTTTTTTATCCAGTAGGGTTTAGGGAGCCAATAAAGGATCTTAACTAGAGGAGTGGCATCTTCTAAAGTATTGTTTTGCAAAGGCTAAGGCTGAGAGGGGTAGACTGGAAGAGACTATTATATTAATACTTATTCAGTAGTTACTGTATACTGGCCATTCTGTTCTATATTTTACTTTATCACAGCAACACTTTATGACAGCGTTTTTCAAACTGCCAGTCATGAGCAAGAAAAGAAAGTAAGAAAGAATAGGACAGAAAATATCGGTGCATCAACGGTAGGAAGTTAGTATCATTTTTGGAAACTGTGTAATACACTGTTACAGGAGTATAAGTGTACTAAGCCAGGATGCAAATCTATTTCTCACCCTGGGTTATGATTATTAAAAAAAATGAAAGGCACTGCTCTAAGGTGTAGGTGTGATCAGCCTCATTTTACAGATGAGGACACACTGCTCGGGGAGTTTCGGTACCCTGCCTCTCTGTAAGTGGGATGGTTAGGTTTCGAATCCGGGCTGGTCCGAAGCCAGAGTGGATTCCTCCTCACTAATGCCCGGCAGCCTTCCCAAGCTACGCGTCTACAGGAAAGACCTGGGGGAGAAAGATACACCTACCCGAGTACCGCCTGCCAAGCGCTTTACTCACAGCACCTCATTCAAGGAGGTGAGTGGGCAGAGACCAATTCCGTCCACTCGAGGCGCTGGTTAGAAGGCAGGCGTGCCCCAGACGTACTGAGTCCGATCACGGGAGGGGGCCCCGGGGATCCATCTACTCTTAGAGAGCTTCAGGTGATGCTGATGCCCACGCTCGGGGGCCGTCAGTTAGGGGGTCGCCGCGATAACCGGGTGAGGATTAACAGGGGCTTGAAGTGAGACCCTGGAAACAGTCCACTCTCGCAGGTGTCACGTAGCCCAGTTCCCCCTATTGTGTAGGACTCCCAGGCCTAGCTATACAAAGTCGCCTGGGGGCTCAGTGCTCATTTCCCTCCCCTGAGGCGATGCAGGAAGAGGGACTAAATAAAAGGCTGGTGACTTTCCACTCACCAGGCATGGGGTTGGCTGGCAGAAGAGCAGAAGGCCCCCGCCACACCAGGGCGACACTAGCTGGAGGCGCAATGTATACGCTATTTATACGGCATTTCTCGGCCTCACCCTGAGGACTTCTGATTGGCTTCAGGGCAGATCTATCACTCATCTTCTGGGTTAGAGGTGGGTGGAAGGTCAACCACGACCAATACAAAGCCACTCCTCAGCTAGGCCCCGCCTCATCCAGCTTCCTGTTGCTGTCCATCAACCACCTCGTGGGCGGGACTTTGCCTCCCGCCAGTTGGCTGGCGAACACGTCGTTCACTCTTGGGTAGGTTTCCGGTTGGTACCTTCTACCGTCCATCAGTGACATTTCACAGGTCTATTGGCCAAACCAACGTCGCTCTAGATGCCTCTCTTTGATTGGTTAGGAGTGCTGTCGGTCCCCAATGTACTGAACTCTTATTGGTGAACGTTGCCGTCGCTCGGGCGGTCGCGGGCTCCGGGATTGGCGGGTGCTAGGCGGGCGGTGTCAGGCTCTCGGTGGCGGCGGAGGCGGCGGAGGCCAGGGAGGAAGATGTCGTAATGAGCGGTGGGTCCTGGCCGCTGCCGGTGGGGTCTTCCCGGCCCCCAAGGGTCGGGAAGACGGGCAGAGGCCGCAGGGACGGGGAGTCGGGGCCGGGGGTTCCCCCCTGGGGCTGGGCCTGGCGCCGGGGCCCGGCTCCGGGAGGGGCGGGGGAGGGAGGATTCCCGCCCGGAGGAGGAGCGGGGCTGGCCAGCCGGGCGGAGGCACCCGGAAGGGGGCGTTCGACTCCCCGCCCCCTCGGAGCCCGCTGGGCGGGAGCGCGGCGCTTCCGGGGGCTGGCGAGAGGAGCGGGCACCCAGGGCGGGCTTGGCACTCCCGGTGCCCGGTCGCCGACCCTCCTCAGCGCTTCCCGGCGCGTGGATCTTGCCCGGGTCTGTTCCGAGGAGGCGGCCCACGCCCCTCGCTCTTGTCCTGTGTTCGGGGGACCCTCCTGCACCGTAACTCTAGGTGCCCACCAGGGATTCAGCGCTCTCCCGAGTGCAGAGGGGCCAAGGGAATGCTTGGAATTCAGACCACAGGGGTACTGCTGAGCACAGCAGCCAACCCGGGTACCGATGTGTCCCCATCGAGAGCTGTTGTCAGGACACGAGGGCGCTCCCTAGGCAGATGACCTCTCGCCTCAGACTGCCGAGTGGGCAAAACCTTCTTGTCATGTTTTCACTTGGATCCTTGAGCCTCCAGCTAGATATCTGCGAGCTCTTAGCAGAATTGTGAGAGCTTTACGAACTTGTTGACAGAGCTCCCAGCCTGTTCTCTGACGTCCCGTGGGGGTGGGGGGTGGGGCGGGGGGCGGACTGCTGAATCCCAAAGGCCAGGCGCAAACTTAAGGAATGACGGAAGAAATAAAACAAAATGGATACTTACTTTCTCTCTCCACCCCACCTCCGTGCCCATTGCTGACTTATGGTTCTCAGCCGCCTACCCCTGCTTCTTGGCTCATGTTCCGGTGGCTTTCCAATTTTAGTGAAAAGGAACTGTGTCTTCTCTGGGCAACTTAAGAAGCCTGTCCTCAGTGCATTCCTTGGTTTTGATTCCGATATACTGTCACGTTTAATTGTTTCTTAATTAACTTGATCCAGAGGGACTCAGTCTGGCTTTCCTCAGTGCACATTCTCCTGAAATTTTTTTCTTCTTCTGAGGTTACTTCTTGTTCACTTCTTTGTTGTTTCCTAGAGAAAGGAAGGCAGGACCCAGGAGATCTGCTTTAAGCAATGAATTGGCCCATGGTCTGCCATGACACCGCTTTCCTGGCAGGCAGAAGGGTGATGACTGTTTGAAGGTACCCTGGCATGCACTGTCTAAAACTTGCATACTGTACCCCAGAAGGGATTAAGTATCACCGTGGAGGGCGAAGTGTTGAGTTGGTATTTCGGATAAGATTTTTAGGGCTAGAACGTTTAGGGTGTTGGCCAGCTCACAGAGAGGCTGTGAAGGGAATGATGGTGGAGTCCACACCATAGGAGTAATTTTGATAAATAACACAAAGAAACCTCTTGTCTGCAATAATGAATATAACTGCAGTGTCTTGTTTTGTTTTAAATTCTTGTGTGCAATGAAGGGGGCGAATCTGTCAGACAACCTATCAGTTGGGCTGATGATGTCAATGTTCCAGTGGCTTCTAACAGGCATTAATACCTGTTGGAAATGGATTCTCATTGACTGGGGCAATTGGTAAGTTTTCTAATTCTGGTTATTCCACTTGGTTGTATAGAGGCTTACCCTCTTCATTTAAAAGCAGCAACAACAAGGCAAAAAGAAAAGCTGGTCTGACACAATTATGAACCTCCTGAGGTATGCTTTTAAAGACACAGTCTCTTGGCCAAAGAGACCCAAGTAGAGTTAGTTCATAACTGGATCCTTATCTGACTGCCCAGCGGGGACAGCTGGCTCCAGGAGGAAGAGTTTGGCATCACCGTTGACAGCACATAGGCTGGCCAGCATTTTCCTCTCAGACTCTCTTAAAGTTTGGGCCTCTAGAGGTCTGTCAAAGGAGAGAAGAAGCTGTAGTAAGAAGATTTTGGCAAATGTCTGGGTAAAGGAGCTTCATGGCATAACAGCAGATGGGGTATCTTAGCCTTGAACTTCCTAGTTCTTTTGTTCATTAATAGCAGCCTTTTGGAGAAGTTGCACGGTCCCTTATAGCCTGAACAGTCCTTTGCCATAGGTATATGATAATTCCCAAACTTGCTTTAAGCAAGTATCGCCCAACGAGGGCCCTTATGGAGACACTCTAAGCTTGTCGCAGCCAGCCAGTAGACTCTGCTGTTGACTTGGGTTCAGCAATCTTCCTGACCTTGCTCACCCCCATTTCTGTGATGGAAATGTAGCATGTTCTTCTTCTAAGACTTATTATCTTCACCCCCTCTGTTCTCTGTATACACACAAATTGGAAGCCTCACTTCCAAAGATTGAAAAATTTAGGAATTATTTTGGAGGGGTCGGGGGGCATTGGCCACAGAATGAAAGATGTGGAGAAACACCTTTAAAGTTGTAAACGGTGCCTGGAGTATTAGAAATTTTAGAAATAGAGTGATGTGGACACTTCTGAGTTTAAACAATTGCATGGTCCATTC